TATTTTGATGGTGTTTTTAAGTTTATTGAACTGTTTACAGTTCAAGGTACCATTACCATGACTGTATCATAATACAGTAAACCATACATATGTGAACACCCCTGTAAAATGAACACCTCAAAATGTGTAAAATATTGAAGTTTCATTTTTATATTCAATATGAATAGTATTGAATACCTCTCTAATTTGAAAACTTTTGACACTTTTGTAAAATAAAATGTATACATTTATATTTTTGTTATCACACTTTGAAAAGGTGCTATATTTTCATTGTCTTGTGCTGATAGATGTGCGAGCATGCGGGTGGGCAGGCGCTAGTGGTGCAACTCGCAAGAAAAATGCTACTCGAGTAGAAAGTGTGAAAATGCCACTGTAATCGAGTACCACTCGCAAAAATGAGGGAAAAATTTAAAAAAATAAAAAACTCACCTAGTCGACTGTTTGAAGACCAAATAGATACAATTTCTTCGTTTCTTCTATATGTTATTGATGTTATATATAGTTTGTATCAATTTAGTGAGAATAAATGTAGTTATTCATGCCATAATTGTGTTTGTTTGTTTGTTTTTAAATATTTTCATTTTGTTTCCGGAATCGATACTTTGTTTCGTTCAGTGCATCCAAAAATGATCATTCCCGGGGTATGAGATCGTTGTTTGGGAATTCAATGCCTACTCGAGTTTGAAAAAACGTACTCGAGTAACTATCTTGGACAGGTTCAACGAGTGAGTGGCGAGTACTGGCATTCGAGTTGCACCACTAGCAGGCGCCATTTGAATGAATTCTTGTTATTATTTCATTTTTACCATCCTATTGACATGCATGTTTGAAATCCCTGTACATATGATATAAGGATCTGTTATTTGGAATACTTCAGGAAAGCAGTGTTCACCAAAGACATGTTTTTCTGTATATTTAAACATTACAGATATGTGCTACAGTCAAACCAATACATGCATATATATTCATAATGCTGTAAAGTGAACATAATTTTACTAATTTTATTGTTTGTTTATCTTGATCAGCCTTAATAATTCAGACATTGATTGCCAAGTATGAAAATAACTTATTCAAGTCAAAAAATTAGTAAATTGAAATATAATGGACACATGATATATTCATGCTTGACTGGACTGGAATATTTGTTGCCTGAAAAACTGCACATAGAAAATAATAATAAATCTGTGAAAATGGCTACCAAGTCATGATTTCGCCATTAACTTGTTTTAATGTACACAGTTTTTAAAGCAAACATGATAATTCATCATGAAGTACTCGGACAATGCTTTATTGACAGTTTTAATAATTCATGTGATTTTCATAAACAATATTAGTATATGTCTGAGTAAATACCTATATACGGTAGATTATAATGCAGTCTTTGTACATTTTTTGTAACATGATGACTATAAATGTGAAATATACCTGCTACTTAAAGCAGATATGAAATGGTATTTTTAACCTAAAGGAAACAATATAATTTTTTGATAAATGTATTTGGATATGTTTTCTCATCAGTAGTGTGAAAATTATTTCACTCTAACGATCGTTATAGCTGCTTAATAAGCAATATTTGAATTGGTTGTGACATTATTGGCCCCCACGTGATCTCTCACTGGTCCCCACGTGGCCCGTTTTGGTCCATCAGATCATGACGTCATAATGCCAAAATGTTTTGTTATTTGTTTACACAGCGATCCTATGGTTGCCATGACGTTGTGATTACTAAGGAACTAATAAACCAAAGCTATATTTTGTATATGACATTACTAATCACGTGGGGGCCAATTTGATTGATTAGCTAGTTTTATTTCGTTATTTCTGACCGTTAGCAGTTATCCAACATTTATTTTATATTTGCTATCGCAAGAACTTTACGTTGGGCTTACAATGGAGAAAACATCATTTTTGTAGCTGCAAGTTGAGAAAAGCTATTTCAGTTGTCCTTTAAAGGTACAAATGCTCAAATTGTGGATACTGACTTTAAAACATAACTACATCAATTAAACTTTCCTTATTTTCAACGATTTTCTCATTTCTAGAGTTTTTTTAGCTCAAATATAGATCCATATCATGTTTTTTTCTAAAAGAAGTATGTTAATAAGTCAAAAAGTTATCGTTCTCAGTTTACCTTAAAGGCCCCATGTGTTTAAACCACTTTCCATATTTTGCATGGGACCTTTAATAGTAAAACATGTTCTGTGACTATAAAGCAATTGGATCAGGTGCATAACTATATTTTACGACATGAAACATATCATGAATCGTTTGAGAGTAGATCATGTGTTATATATATTAAGTATATTAGGCCCTAGGGTACCCTTGATCAAGCAATAATTGATCTTCCTCTTTAATAGTCGAACTTTTAAATATCAGGGAAGTAGAAGGTTTAATGTGAGGGATTCACGAGGGTTTGTTCTTTGATATGTTTTTTTGATAATGATCTATTGATTCTTGTTTATTACTCAATTAGGTGCTATTATATGATGGTGTTGAGATGAATATTTGACATTTATAGAGCCTACATGTTATATTATGGGCCATTTGTCAGAGAAACCCTTAACTGAAATGACACTGCATCTAAGCTTTAACTCCTCGCTTTAGATACAGTGAAACCTGTAAAGTGGAACACCTCTGTTAGAGGAACACTTTTCAGAGTCCCAAGACCAACTGACCTTTGTTAATGAACCTCTGTAAATGGAACACCTATAAGTGGGGCACTGTTTAGGGGTGCCAAAGGTATTCTACTTGTTTTGATCCATACTCAGATTCTATTCTCAGTGGAGCTCTTATTCCATTTCTATTATGGCAATTTTTGGGTCTCTCATGGTATCACTATGTTTTAATTTATATTCTCTGGGAGGTCTTGAACAAGTTCTTGAATTTATGAAGAATTTGTTTCTGTTTCCATGTACACTGAGCCAGCATTTAATTATAAATTAACCTCTAAATAGATTCGACAATTTTAAAGTTTAGCAGCCCTGAACCAATGCTGATAGCCATCACGTGCTGGGTCATAAATCAATTCAAACCCATCAAGCAGGCATTTTCTCAACCAATCAGCAAGCAGAAAGAAGTGTGTTTAAATAATCTTTAAATGTTGGTCAGTAATGGGTCAGTGTAAATGTCAGAGGAAATTACCATATCATCCTGGAAATGAAAATCTTCCTGGCAATGACAACCTATGGTTGCCTCTGCAAGTTCAAAACTTTAGAGTCAATTGAACCTTGGACCTCTTGCAGCAGAGGAACGTGTAAATGCAAGTGAGCTATCGAGGAAGAATAATTGTAAAGGCACAGAGGGTAACACTAGAATAACACAAAACAACTCAGACACATGTAAAGAATATATAGTGTGTGCAGAGCCCGATGCAATATTGGAAGAAAACATAAAACCAATGATAAACTGCATCCTTTTCATACAATATACGAAAAAGCCAAATTACTCCTCTTTGCAATGGAATGTCATCCATCTACATGGAGTCATGGATGGCCGAATAATCATTAATTTCACAAACCTGGGCAAAATTCAGCTTGGACCCAAGTTTTAAACGTTGCAAAAGTCAGTACACGGGTCATAAGGGCTATTGGAAAAAGGTGTGACGGGTGTGGCATTGACAGTGAAGTGTTCATACTCATATTCTTGTAAGAATACATCCTATACCCCTCCAAATGGCCACCACTTCTTTGCCCACAAAGATGCACTCATCTCTCCATGTCATGCATGGTTTAGCCCTGAGTCATCTTTGGGTTAAGGTGGAGAACAGTGGCCCATTAAGGTAATTATTTCTTGAAGTTTTGCAATATGTGGTGGAGAAATGGTTAACACTCTGCACCTGAGATGAAATGAAAAAGTCAGGTCAGGAGGACTTCCATATTAGCATTTAGCCCTTGCACGGACTTTTGCAATATCTGAAACTTGGTCCAGAGCTGACTTTGACCCACTGTGCAAATGTCTGGATTTCTCACCCAACCATGACCACATGTGAATGAATGACATATTGCAAAGAAGAGGGATATGGCTTTATGGTACATTATGGTAATTCTCATACTTGTACTTTAATGAAATGGTTTTCTGTTTACTGTGCTACTCTTAGCAATACTTTGAAATGCTAAGTGTGGGAGGACAACTTGAGTGGCGGATAGTTTGCTTTATTGCAGAACGTCTACTGTAATAAATACAGTGATCTTCCCAGGATTTTTTCAATATTTCTCATTTTCGGCAGGGTACAACAAATTTCCAACATTGTGGCATGTAATTTTCAGATTTTCATCACAGTGTAACACCCAGGTGTTATAATGCTGAGGAGATCACAAAAAAACTTTTGCTTTTTAGTCCATTCAAATGATTATTGAGAATCTTTTCAATAATTTCTATTTTTGGCAGGGTACAACAAATTTTCAACATGATGCCATGTAATTTTCAGATTTTCATCACAGTGTAACACCCAGGTGTTATAATGCTGAGGAGATCACAAAAAAACTTTTGCTTTTTAGTCCATTCAAATGATTATTGAGAATTTTTTCAATAATTTCTATTTTTGGCAGGGTACAACAAATTTTCAACATGATGCCATGTAATTTTCAGATTTTCATCATAGTGTAACTCCTAGTTGTTACAATGGGGCAACCATCTGGGGCGATCATAGAAAATGTTTTTGCTTTAGTCCAACCAAATGATTATTGAGCCGATTTGCTGATATAATAGTATGACAAACTACAGAAAAAGAAATCCTGACCTGCACATTTAAACACGTTTTCATTTATAAAAAGTTCTTCTTTAGTTAGGTGTAATGAATCAAGATTAATAGATGAATAAACCTACACAGCTACATTACTATTCACTTGATTGTATCATTAATTACTGCAAACGAGCACAAGCTTGGAAATCACGGTTATATCGCATTATGATGCCATCAATAAAACATGAAGAAATTCTCTATATGCCGATAGCTTTTAACTGAGCCTTTGTACAATTTCTTTCTTGTTTTATTATTGCAGGTTGCGTGGCTGAATATTAGATGCAAGCTACTGAAAGGTTAATTCAACATGGACATGATTGAGCTATACATTCTGTGATATACTAGTATACAGGTAAGGTTCATGCAGGTGAGATTCATACATGTAGGATTCATAGAGGTAGGGTTCATACAGGTGAGGTTCATACAGGTACGTGTCATGCAGGTGAAGTTCATACAGGTAAGGTTTGTACAGGAAGGATTCATACAGGTATGATCCATATAGGTAAGGTTCCTACAGGTGTGGTTCATGCAGGTGAAGTTCGTACAGGTAAGGTTCATACAGGTAAGGTTAATAAAGGTGAGGTTCATACAGGTAATGCCCATGAGGTGATGTTCTTACAGGAAGAATTCATACAGGTAAGGTACACACGACAGGTGAAGTTCATACATGTGAGATTCATACAGGTAAGGTTCATGCAGGTGCGATTCATGCAGGTATGTTGATATTGGAAGGGTTAAAACAGTTGATGTTCATATAGGTAATATATAAGGTTCATACAGTTTCACACTTGTTGATCTGTTTAGAAGCAGACTAATAAAATTGTATACCAAAATTTCATGTTTGCTGGTTGAAGACAGATATTAATATGTAGCTAAAGATATAGACTGAGTAAACTATGTATAGTGCTCACCATAAATAAATGACACCTGGATTTGCTGTAGTGAGGATTTCCCATGTTAAAAAGAAGAGAATTTTCAAGAGGCTATACATCAGTGGATGAGAGTATACAAAATAATTTACAAATCATAAGGGAGTATATGTGTCAACATAATTCATACCATCTCCTAAAGGAGAAACCTATTTAATCAGATACCAGTTACATGGCATATTAACATTGATCATTAAGACATCTATAAATATGAAAAGCCAAGCAACGCTAGTACAGGTATACTGAGTTTTCTATATGCTGTACTAACCAATTTCATTTTCTATGGCAATCAGTATATAACACAATAAACGTGAACTATCATATTGACCTTTTCAGCCTATTGGGAAAAACATGGAAAAATGATATATCCACCTTCAAGTATTTTTCTGAATCCAAATTTTGTTTTTGTGTTGGAAGACAAATGCCGTCACAAATATGAAAAAAAATATTTTGAAAGTTCCAAAGGAGCAATTGTATTTTTACATAAGTGCAAAAATACTAAATGTGTTAAAGATAAATATTTTATACACATACATTTTGTTATTTCCTCTGTTATGATTTTTGTATCTTTATATTTTGAGGAATATAGTCTAGAACTTGAGATATAACCGTTCAAAATTATGGTTTTGGATACATTTTTAGCAAATTCTAACAAAATTCACTCTGTTTTACAAGGATTATAATGAGAGTTGGCTTTGCTGAAAATTTTTATTTTGTATTCTTGCAGTGCTTGGCAATGGATTTCTGAAGATGCCTTCAATTTACTAAGGGACAGAGCACAAAACAGAGGTTCAGTCATAGGTAAGTTTGAATAAACCCTAGCAATATTTAATCTCAGACTAGAGAGATCTAGAGAGGGACTGCCCTGAAAACCAGAAGCTCTCTGTAAGAGAAGTGAAATCAAATGACATGTTCATTCTTTACATTGAAAAGGGTAGAGAGGGATTCAACCTTTGTGAGAAATACAGTAAAACCTGTCTGAGTGAACACCTCTCTCTAGTGAACACTTGTCTCAAGTGGACATCCTTCCTCCACACATACTCTACTGACTTTGTATAAATTACCCTCTCTGTAATGAACACCTAACAATACTGAACCTTTTTTCTTTGTAATATTCACAGTACAGGTTTTACTGAAGATTTGAAATTCTCCAATTCCACTGGTGATCCACTCGATTACTCTGGTTACCAAAACAAACCGTTTTGGTAACAAAATGTCGGAACGTCAAAGGCACGATTTTTCTTTTTTCCTTATTTCACGCGTTGTAGGCAGAATCCCCACAACGTTTTTTCTCACAACCTGCATCAGTATCATATGTTTTAGAAAATGAACATGTTTGCGAAAAAATAGCTCAGAGGCCAACATAATCGTCGATTTACTTCCTCACTTAAGTTACATAAACGGTTTTTCGAAAAACAGTTAAGATCTGCACTTTTAACCCAAACCGTTTATGTAACTTAAGTGAGGAAGTAAATCGACGATTCTGTTGTCTTCTGAACTATTTGTTCGCAAATATGTACACTTTCTTAAACATATGATACTGATACACGTTTGTGTTAAAAAATGTCGTGGGAATTCTGCCTACAAAGTGTAAAAGGAAACGAGAAAAATCGTACCTTCCGGATGTTTCGACGTTTTGTTACCAAAACGAACCGTTTTGGTAACCAGCGTAATCGAGTGGATCACCAGTGAATTCTCTAATAGGACAGAAAACAAGCTGTTTCAATAAAAAATTACTTGTTGGTTAAGCTTGAATCTCTTTAGATCTAAGTTTGTACATCTACCTATATTATCAGGTACGGTTTGCATGATCACAGAAAATATATGTAAATTGAATTCTCTCCATTCAGATGATAAGAACACACTTTTAAAGATACTGTTGATAAAAAGATGGCGATGTTTTATCTCATCTCATAACACAGTTTGGAAGTTTGAAAAAATAAAATAGATGTCACCTCAGAATAGTCTTGCATCTGTCAGGTCTTTGAAACTTCAATTTTATGACCCCAATCAGGTTGTGACCATTCGAGTCATAATGACAGTCAGTCTGAAGAGAGGATTGATGCAAGACTTCTCATGGAGTTAATCAAGAATAAATCAACACTTTTGCCCATTATTCTGCTTTCAAAGAAGATAATTAAATTGAGTTTGATGTAGGAAGAGCAGAATACCTTTCATTGTCAAATACTAGTACATGTATATAAACGGTCCTACTTGATAAATTATCCATTCAGTTCTGCCTTCCTTAAAAGCAAATATCGTTAAAAACAGGGCAGAATATCTATGCCGTGATGATTTCATTTTCGTTATGTCATGAATATCGTATGCTGAGTAAATATGAAAATGTCAAGTCAATATTCAAAATGAATTGTTTAATCATGAATATGTACAAATGAATAAATGTTATGAAATTACATTCACAATGCATCGTCCATAACGCAGCTTATAATAATGACGCATCTTGGAAAATCTTGCAAAAAGAGCATACTTATGAAGGGAAATCAGCTACGTCATTTCAAAAGTTCCTTTGCTAAACAACTTCCTGAAAAGTCCTAAGAATTATTCCTGCCAGTTCGAGTTTACCTGACATCTCGAAAACTGCAGCATTTAATTTATCCCCATCTTATTATTACTTATGTCATGGCAAGGTTAAGATAGCATTGAGTTATTTACCTGATTCAAAGAGCATGGATTTTAATGCGAACTACACAACTCTGTTTTTAGGTTCAAGGATTGTTGATTTTGAAGAAACTAACGTGATGTTTACACATCTTGGTTCATATGGTCTCTCTTGTTTGTTCAGAACTGGAATTGAACATCCTCATTTTACAGGCTGTTTCTTGTCATGATCAATTACTTAGCTGTGGATGTTCCTTGTCATTATAGTGTTACATAATTGAGTCAGTGTAGAATCTGGCGCGATTATTAAATTGCATAGTGTGATAATCCAAAGTGATAGCACCTAATATTGAATTAAACAGTTATTCTTTAGACTGAGATGAGTAACATTAGAGGTGAAGAGAATACTTGAGCTGAGAGTGACTTTGGGTTTCCACTTTCATTCAGTTTCACCTTTAAGAAATATAAGTATGGGACCACTAAAATTTATGTTTCCTGGGGCCCAGTCTTCATCTACCAGTATCCGCTTGCGATTATATTTTGTATGGTAGGTTGCTGTTGTGGTCTTGTGTAAATAGTTTTGTTATTTAGATTTTTTCTTGAAGTCTTGTGGCTCGCTCTATTGATATCAGCGCTGATTGATGTGCTGTATAAATTTTGAATGTTTTAGAAATTTTTGAACATACGAGGTGTATTTAAATATTTATGGGCTAGTATGGTTTAACAGTGTTTAAGTGCTTACATATATTTAAAAATAAGTAATGATGAATAAACTTTGAGAACAAAATTAGCTTTACTCAAATGCCCTGTAAATCAAATTTTGCCATCAATGACTCTTTCCATTTTCAATAAAGGTTCTTGTTAGAGATTTCATGATCACATGCTAACTAACTTAACCAGAACAACGGCAACGCCAAAGCGTAGCGAATCCCATCGAACAGAAATGGCTGGCATTTTTACAAACGAAGCGCAAATATCATAAAACAACACACCAGAAAGGCCACCATTTTCAAAATGGTTGCTCACTAGCCAAGTTGTCATCAGAAGAAATAATATGCTTTAAAGTAGCCACCTCTAAAATTTTTGAAAAATCGCACACATGCTTGTAAAATAACACACATAAAAATGGTGGCCATTTTTCAAAATGGCCGACTACTCCCTAAAGTTTTATTAGACAATGTGCCATGCTTAAAGTATTCACATATCAATTATGAACAAAATCGCTCCACTACTTTTCGAGTTATAGTAAAATACGTTAAAATGGCGGCCATTTTTCAAAATTGTTTTCAAAATGGCCGCCTTCTACCAAAAGTGTCATAGGACAGTGTGCCATGCTTATAGTATTCACATACCAAATATGAACAAAATCGCTCTACTACTTTTCGAGTTATAGTAAAATACGTTAAAATGGCGGCCATTTTGAAAAATGGCCACCTTCTACCAAAAGTGTCTTTAGACAGTGTGCAATGCTTATAGTATCCACATACCAAATATGATCAAAATCGCTCCACTACTTTTTGAGTTACAGCAAAAATTGTAAAATGACGAGTAAAGGCCGCCATTTTTCAAGATGGCTGCCATGTGCTTCTTTAATATCTACATTTGTAGCATTATTAACGTCCTTTATAATTTTTTTACATTTAAAACATATTGCTATTACAGTTTACATATTGCACCTAAATTACTGTAAAATCGTCACTAAAATGGCCACCATTTTGAAATGAGCGGCCATTTTGAAAATCGTTTTTCGAGCAGAACTTCTAACCCCATAGGGTATATGTGTACAAAATATGAACAAAATCTGGCCAACCGTATTTGAGTTATTGCCCGGACGGACGGACGGATGGACAGACGGACGGACGGACGGACGGACGGACGTACGTACAGACGTACGTACGGACGGACGGACGGACGGACGGAGGCGTTCCCTATATCCCTCCGAACTTCGTTCGATGGGATAATTACATTGACTCCTGCAGAAATACCTTGCTTTTATTATTGCAGAATTGTGATATCTACAGGGGATGTGTTTACCTCATATCTCATAGCTAGTCTCATCTTGATTAGATCTAATTGAAATGTTTACTGTTTGGTTTCACATCAGCTTTTGCTTTATGTATTAATAATATTTACCAGGCTTTATATCCAGGTGATCTAGGTTTGCTAGAAACAGTAAGAAGTCAATCGGGTGTTAATGATGCATGATGTCAATAAACTACAGTTCTCTTCTAAGAATTGTATGTCTACTAGGTGCAATATTTCTTCATTTTGCCTACTCTGACTGAGAAAAGTTCAAAATAAAGCAAAATATGCAAGTTTTTTAAAAAATGCCATCCCGTGAGAGCAAATGGATTTTCAGTTGGGTGTAAGGTTTTCATTAAGTTAGTCATTTTCAAATTGCTTTAATCATGGGAGGTTATTGACGTTAGACAAATCAGTTGATTTACTAGAATTTCCAATAAAAGACAGAACAAACATGATTATTGCATTGAAACGTGTCTTAAAGTTGCAAAATTCCTCAAAACAACAGGTGACTTTTGTGAAAACAATGTTTAACGAGAGAAAATCATCTGCCATTTGCTTATCAAACAACCATCATTTGCTCCTTCTGTAATCCTATAATCTTCAGGCCCATTACCAGTTTTTATCAAGGGGGGTCACTTTTCCAAAGATTTCCAGTGGGGTTAACATATGACAGCATTGGCCATAAATTACTTAAAGAGCTCAGAAAGGTGAAAAACTACATGATTTTTAAGGACTTTTTGGCCTAGAAGGGGGGGGGGGGGGATTCGCTTGCATCATCTGTACTCCCCTTTGCTTCAGGCCTGTTGGCCCTCCTTATTCAAGTACAAAAAACAAGTGTGATTTGTGTCATGTAAAGTTCAGATAATTTTAGTAATGAACACCTAGATTGAGGCTTCATTAAGCAAACAAAGTGACAAGAAAGTGTTAATATCTGTCAAAATAGTTCCTATGTTCTCATCAACTTCAGGATGTTAATTTGAAATATCCTAGAATTATCACAGATAAATATTGAAGTGTGCAGATAATGAAAAACAGTATTTTTAGATAGTGTTTTGCATGGATTCAATTTCTACGTTGAGAATGCTGATGATAAGAGTAATTTTTCAAAACAAGTGGGATAGAAATTTGAGCAAAAATTGCTGCTATCTAAATAGAGT